AGGCACGTACCCTTCCAAGGGATCCAGCTTACTTACGGACACGTTCCTCTGTAACAGGTCTTCAGCGTAGTTTAACAGTAAGTAGTACTGAAAGCGTGTTTGCAGCAAGTAATTGTTTTTGCCGTACTTTGTGTTACAGACCCCACTTAGCTAGAACCGAAAGCTAGCTTTGTGTCTTCCCCTAGCTGTGCATTTGACCGTAGCCCCAGGAACACAGCGGCGGTAGGAGCGTACAAACTGCCCTGCAGGGACACCACGCCATCTTGAAACTGCTGGTAGTTTTCGAGCGTTGTCCTCTGTGAAAGGTGAGCTCCCTGCAGCAGCTCACTTTCACTGATGTGGTTCTCCTAAGTCTAGAATATTACTCACGGTTTTCTTGAACTGAACAGCAGATAGTGGTCTCAGGTTTCAAATGAAATCTTAAAACAGCAAATGCGTATTTGCAATGACTAGTATAGCAGTATGAAACTGAACTGGTCAACAAATTATGAGAATAAGCCATCAGACTTTTTTATTTTAGCTGTTTAAAGTATTATAAGGATATTTTTCCTTTCCTGTGCCAGAATATACAGCCTTATGCTTCACAGGCTAGGAGGGTGCTGGTGTCACAATTTAAATGAGGAGTAGGAAGGTGCTTGTATCTCCTACACCCAATTAAAAAAAAAATCCATTAGCATAAGGACTTGGACAAAGGCCCAAGTTTCCATGGGGCAGCAGGTGACCGCGCGTCAGCCGCTCTCCACAGCGGGCAGTGCTCTCGCAGCAAGGTGCTGCTGGCCACCATCTGATGACTGTTGCTTACCTTATCATGCACAAATGAATGCCTGGTAAGCACCGCGCTTGTGCATCAGACCTTTCTGTCGCCCACCCTCTGGGCTGATGCCTTTACAAGGTTCCACCATTGTCCTCTAACAGTTTGATGCCATCTTCTGTAATTCTTCGAGGTTTTTTTTAAGAGCCAGACTTGCGGAGACCAAGCATTCTGTACCCAGGCTTAATGGGATATATAGAAAATTTGCCACAATCATGGAGTCAAGTAAGGTTGGCGGGGATCCTGCTGAAAATAGGAAATGCAAAAAGGAAAACAGAAGCCCAACACTCTAAGAGTTGTTTTGCTATTAGAAGAAAATACTGCAGGATTTAGAGCTCTGTGCATGCTCATCAGCGAGAACAGCGCTGCACCCATCTAAACCACTGCTCCCCGGGGGGGAGGCAGCCATTTACGACCTCTTTGCGTTCCCTCCCTCGGGGCTACGCCCAGACCCTGCCTGCTTGCAGAGTTCCCTGTGGCCACGCAACTTTGCTCCAGTTTAGAGAATATATAAATATTGCTATTGCCTCCCTTATTAAACTAATTCACAGAGCAAAAACTATGCAAAACCACCAGGCCACACGCAAGCTGACACGCACTGAAACCACAACCACCTCATCAGCGGTTTGCGCGTTCTTGTGGAAGGGAAGAAACGTACTACAATTCTGTAAACGTGAAAGCGATTCTCTTACATTGCCGCGAGCGGAGAATCCAGGGCCCTGCCTGCCGTACTGCAGCGAGGCAGTCTTACCTACTAGTTCCCTTAGTCACTCCTAGGTACTCGGTTTGCAGGCTCGCAGCAGTTCTTACCTTCAGCCGTTGTTTTGGTAGCACTTCCAGAAACTCGGGCCCTAATACAGTTTTACAGAAGTACAAAGCAGCAGTGGCTCACGTCATCTGTCCTTCAATATTAGAAGTGCAATAAAACAAAATTGTATCAGCATAAACTGCAAGAACTGAGCAATTCCAAAGGTGTTTCTCAATCCAGCAGTTTTACAGAAAGGTTACTTAGTCTAGCAAGTTGACTTACCTGCAAGAAGTAAAGATACCGGTGAGTCATCCAGCGGGCCTTCTTCCTTGTACAGCCCGGCACGGCCTCCTGAAGGAAGTCTGCTGGCTCCAGCCGTCGGCAAAGAGCCTCCGACTCCAGAGTTACAATGCAGCAGCTCACCTGACAGTGTTCAGCAAGCTGAATTGTACTGAAGGTTTCAACTTAAATCACTTTCAAAGATATTACATTTCACTATAAATACCTTCCGATTTTATAAATACGCTCAAGTGATAGCCCTTTCTATTTATTTAGAGATGTTTGTGATTATTTTTTTTAACTCTGTACAAACTGATTGTGCTCATTCTGTTGCCTTTGAAAAAAGAAGTATTTTTTTAAGCTGAACCATGGTTCTGTAAGAAAACAATGTTTACATGTTTAAATTTTCAGTTGCTTTAGGTACATGTTTTCTAAGTCAAAAAATAAATAAAGAAAAGATTGATAAATTGTACACACATGCAGCCCAAGTCTTTCTGTGCCTGAGAGATGAATGACAACAAAACAGAACTCTCCTACCGCCCCGAGCAGAGGCAAATTCACACACAGTCGATACAATTTGATTCAACTTTGTTCCATTCCGTAAGAAATAAATGCAAACAACCTTTAGAACCAGAAGTTTATTGTAGCTTATAGACTCTCCAAACTGACCCGTTACCAATATACACATCTGAAAAGTTATACCCACAGCGGCTACAGACTGCGTCAGGACGTTACAACCTTTCAGCATTACCATTAAGTCATGATCAGTCTTGGTCTAAAATACAGCAGCTACAGCAACAGTATATGGAAGGATAAGTCTTCTACACATTAACACAGGACAACTGTCAGACATAAGTTAAAAGTCCCAGTTTACTTAAAACTAGCAGTTATATTACCACGTAAGTAGTCAAAACCATTTCCCCGTTTTAGAAATCTAAAATTTTACATTAAAAAAAAACAACCCCAAAAAGCGGTAAGCTAGTTGCGTGGGTTCTCTTCCCTGCTTCCAGGTCCACCTACTATTGTAAAAGGCACTCCACAGTCAAGCGTTACCCCAGATAAAGCCCACCGTTGGATCCCATGACACGCATCGCTCGGTGAGAATAGGCCTGCTCGGAAAATCAAAACTACAGAAACGTTTTCTCTTTCCTCTCTTTGAATTCTGACCCTTTGTGCCCCACCCCTTGGCTCGCTCCTCGCTCCCCCGGCACGCTTGCGCAGCGCCCCGTTTCCCTGCTGCGTGCCGCGGGCTCGCCCGCTGGGAGACGCGCGTGCTGCGCACCTACGCCGCCGGCGGGCTACCTACGAGAGCAGAAACTGGAACTTTGCTTACCGTGCTGAGGAGCGAAGGGAGTCCTAGTCTCCTGTTACAAGCAAAACAAGTTACTCTTTAATCCACCTCCAAACATAAAAAAAATCAAGTAAGCAGATATTCATTATTCAAGGCTCTGTATAAGACCAAATAAAGTTAAACAAGACGTGCTGTACAGAAAAACTAGCACTCTCCCCCATGGGGTCACAACTTCTCGTACCTTTCAGCTATTTCTTTAGAGAAGTCCTTTGCAATTCCAAGTTAGAACTTTGATCAGGAACAACCAACATCATCTGGACTTGGAATAATACTAACGTGATTTCCAAGGTTTTCTGGTTGGATAATTTACGCTCTAGTTTTCACCAGCAGGAAAACACAATTGCTAAGTGTAAACAAAGGCTTAATACACCAACAGTCCGAGTTACCGTACAAGGGCTACAGGGAATGAGCAGGAGTGTCTTTAACAGAAATGGTATCAGCTATGCCCCACACCCTCCCACTACCAAATGAGAAAAACTAAACAGCCAAAAAACCCACAACCTCTCTCTAGGTAGACTGGTAGCCAAGGTGCACAGGTCCGCAGGTCTCGGGCCTTCCAGCTTCGTCACCAGCGTTACAACCAACCAGGTAAAGGAATAATCCGCCCCGGCGGCAGGACGGACAGACCATCGCTCTACTACAGGCGCCTCCCTGTAACCAACAGGAGCTGTGGCACCGCACCACAGCATCAGCACGCCCTCTGCCCACCATCCGGGTAGTGTTTTCTCCCAGTAACTTAAAAGCTCTTATGCCAAGGCTGAACTGGAGGAGGGAAAAAAAAGAAAAAGAACAAACAACTGTATTGCACAGGGCAGCTGAACCTCTGCAGAGGTTCCTAAAGCCTTTGCGGTTTCTCACAAGCTTGTCTGTTCCCTCTGCAAAAATAAAGGAGGGTAAAGAAAAGGAAAGAAAAATTAAAGAAAAAACAGAGCGGGGCATGAGCGCGCACGGCAGTCAAGGCCAATGACACTGAAACATCTACGCTAGAGAACTGTGCCCGTGCTCCTGCTGCAGTAGTATGAGACGTGTAATAGTTCATGCTTCATGATTTTTTACTTTAGCATGTTTTAAACCCCAATCCCTGTTTTCACTACCACAAATGACATAATTACATAATTCCGATATATTTACAAAATATTAAAAAGTCTGTTAATCTTCTACATATTAACCTCATTCTGCCACTTTACACATGCACTAATTTGGGGAAAAAATTAAAAGAAATCAACAGGCTGAAATGAGCAGCGTTACCCTTTGTCAACAAGCAATCTTTGCATCTTTTAGAAAGAGGAAAAGGAACAAAGCCAAGTTTGTTTCACTGAGCAAAAAAAGACAGTTCAGAAATTCATGTGCAACGGCTACAGCTCTGTCGAGTCACTTAGCTGAGATGACATGAAGAAAAAAGTGCAAGGTGGTTCCTCACATAGCGTAAAAAAAATCCAGTCACTGAGGCATGGCTGAAGGAAGAGGTGCTAACTACAATTCTAGGAACAGCGTCGGGAGCTAGCTGACAGAACACAGACACGGGGATGTGCGTGGGTTCAATCTACTGGCCAGAAGGATTTTTTTTTTTTTTTTTTTTTTTTTTTTTTTTTTTTTCCCCCCTAATTCTTTTGAAAAAACGGGGGGGGGTATGC